AGAAATGATGTTACTGAAAATGACCACTGTCTGAAGGTTGATAGAGTAATGTCTATGATGAGTCTTCAGATTTTCCCTTAGCTCTTCCCCTTCATTCTATAAACATGCCTAACCTTTATTATCTGGAAATTAAGAGGCAAAGCAAAACTTTCCTTGCTCTTTTTAACTCAGTTCAATGTATTATTTTCCCCATCTCCTTTCCTAGCCTGAGAACTGTGAGGCCAGGACCATGCATAGTTTTTATGACACTAGCAGAATAACTGAAACACAGTAAGCACTCAACTATTTACCTAATGAAGAGTATCCTAAACTAATTGCCTGTCCTCTAACTTTACTTCTTCACCAGCTACGATTTAAACCCAAACACTCTTATCTTTTATTTACTGAAACAACTTGTCAGAGTTCCTCCAGGGAAGCAGCGAGGTGGTTGGGAGTGTTGGCTCTGAGACCAGACCACCTGGTTTGAAGATTGATTTCACCACTCCCTTACTCTGGAAACTTGAGCAAAGTTACCTGATATTGCTCTAGCTCAATTACCTCCTTTGTAGAATGAAAACTGTTTTATGGATTTAAATGATCTAACAAACAACAGGCATTCAAATGTCATTATTATTATTATTAATATTTCACTTGTTCTATATGCAGTTCTAACATTGATGACAATACTCATGACCTTTATAATTTATATTAGGAGTAGATGAGTATACATCCTTAATCTTAAATTTCTACTTAAAGTCTTATGAAACTGATGTGAAGATGGCAGAACTTTAGCAAATTTAAGCCAACCAGATGTTAAAATTCTTTGTTCTCAGCTTGCCCAGAGACAAATTCAGGAAATTCTTATTTGAGCAAGAAATACTTTGGCAGGAGATGGGAAAAAATAGCCTCAGCCAACATAAAAGTAATAGCACAAAAAGTTGCCCATCATAGGATGTCATATGATTTATAAGATTATGTTGAATTAAATAAACAAGAAGCCATTGTCTAAGGATATCTCCATAGTTTGAGTTTCCCTCTAGCAAACTGAAACCTGCTTTAGAGAGTATTTTTTGTAACAAATAGCAAGGTTTCAGCCAATCACAGGCAGCCAACAGATCAGACCATGCCCAAATAAGGCAAATGCCCTAGCTATAGCCAATTAGATGATTCTGTTACTTAGCTTCTGCACTTGATCTTAGCCAAAAGGCCAAGAAGGGATCCCTACTTTGCTTCTGTGTTGTTCCTATAAAAGCTTGCTGTTCCCACTGTTGGGCAGAGCTCTCTGAACCTCTTCTGATTCTGAGTACTACCCAACTCATGGATTCTTTGCTCACATAATCTGTTTTATTTGTCTAAAGTTTTTTAACATAATATTTAAATGAAAAAGTTATATGAACATGCTTGTTACCATAATTTCCTTTTTAAAGAAAACATCATTAACAATTTATGAGACTGTATTAAAGAAGTTGGATGTCTAACAGTCATCTCACATTGAACGTGTTTGAAACCTAATTCTTTTTCTTTTTTTCTACCCCTATCTATACCTCCCCATATCAGTACATGGCAATACTCTTTATCTAGTTGTGCTAGCTCCAAACCTGAGAGTCACATTTGACTTTTTTCCCCCTCACTTACAGCCATCCATCAACTCATCTAATTGGCTCAAAGTTCAAATTTCAAGCACTTCTTTCCACCTCCATTGCTATCATCCTAGTCCAAGTCTTTGTCACCTCTCACCTAGCCTACAATGATAATCTTCTGTCTTTGTTGTTTCTGGTTTTATCCCCTATCGTCTAGTTTCCCCGCAGCATAGGATCATTTTTAAAGGTTGAATTATATCATGCTATTCTCCTACTCAAAATTCTCCAATAGGTTTTCTTCGAGTGGAAGTAGGATTTTACATTAAGTCCTTAGATACATTTTTAAGTCCCCACTGAATCTGGGACACGTACTTCTCCATTTACCTTGCCTGGTTCTAGTACAAACATAGCAGCCTTCTTGCTATTCTTTGAAGACCACAATATGATTCTGCCCTCAAAGCTTTTTTGTGCTTACAAAAAAACCTAAATAGCTAAAGCAATCCTAACCAAAAAGAACTTGGAGGCATCACATTACCTGACTTCAAGTTATATTATTAATACAAGTCTGTAGCACCCAAAATAGTATGGTACTGGTATAAAAGTAGTCATAGACCAATGGAACAGAATAGAGAAGCCAGAAATTAAACCATCTACCTATAACCAGCTGATCTTTAACAAAGCAGACAACATATACTGGGAAATGGAAGTCTTATTCAACAAATGGTGCTAGTAAAATTGAATAGCCACATGCAGAAGAATTAACTAGGACCCCTATCTCTCTATATATACAAAAACTAATTCAAAGTGGATAAAATACTTTAATGTAAGACATAAAACAATAATAATTCCAGAAGAAAACATAAGAAAAACTCTTCTAAACATTGGCTTAGGCAAAGGTTTTATAACTAAGACCATAAAGGCAAATACAGAGACAACAATAATAAATGGGACTTAATTAAATTAAAAAGTATGTGCCTGGCAATGGAAATAAACAACAGAGTAAAAAAAAAAGTGAGAGGCTCAGCGCCTATGGCTCAACTGGCTAAGGCGCCAGCCACGTACACCTAAGGTGGTGGGTTCGAATCCCCAGCCCAGACCCGCCAAACAACAATGACGGCTGCAACCAAAAAATAGCCGGGCGTTGTGGCGGGCGCCTGTGGTCCCAGCTACTTGGGAGGCGGAGGCAGGAGACTCGCTTGAGCCCAGGAGTTGGAGGTTGCTATGAGCTGTAATGCCACGGCACTCTACCCAGGGGGACAGCTTGAGGCTCTGTCTCAAAAAAAAAAGTGAGAGAAAATATTCACAAACTATCTACCCAACAATGGACTAATAATAATAACAAACAAAAAACTCAAACAAATCATCAAGAAAAAAAAATCAATAAGTGGGCAAAAGACACAAACAGTTTTTCAAAATAAGATGGAGAAATGATCTACAAACATATGGGGAAAAGCTCCACATCACTAATTATTAGGAAAATGCCAATTAAAACTACAATGAGATACCTACCACCTTAACACTATAAGAATGGCCATTGATTAAAAAATCAGAAACAGTAGATTGTGGTGTGAACACAGAGAGAAAGGATGGCATGTACACTGTTGGTGGGGTTGCAAATTAGTGCAACCTCTATGAAAAATAATATGGATATTCCTTAAAGAAATAAATGTAGACCTCCCATTTGATCCAGCAATCTCACTGCTGGGCATCTACCCAAAGGGAAAGATGTCATATTATCAAAAAGACTTCTACACTCAAATGTTTATAGCAGCACAATTCACAATTGCAAACATATAGAATCAACCTAAGTGCCCATCAACTCGCAAGTGGATAAAAAAAAATGTGGTTAATACACACATACCATGGAGTACTACCCAGCTATAGAAGGAATGAAATAATGTCATTTGCAGTAACGTAGATGAAACTGGAGACCATTATCCCAAGTATCTCAGGAATGGAAAACCGAACACTGTATGTTACCACCAGTAACTGGGAGCTTAACTATGGTGCACAGGGGCACAAACGAGATAGAAAGCACAGTGCAAATCAAGAAGGGGGAGGGTAGGTTAAATGTGGGATAATATCTTACCTATAGGGAACATAAATACTCTTCTAGAGACAGGCACACCAAAAGCCCTGCCTTCCATATAACAAAAACATTTTGCCCCCTTAATATTTTGAAAATAAAAATAAATTAAAATCTCAGCCTCCCCAGAGCACATTCCAATTTGAGTCATTCCATCCAAGTTTGCAAGTATTATTTTAAGTAGTTTCCAACAGGAAAGTCTATTATTTGAACTCTAAAAAAATGAACAAATTGATTCAGAGACAGAGACATTTAGTGGTGGGTGAATAATCTTTATTTGGTTTGTACATTCTGCCTCCAATCTGGGAGTTCTTCCATGAAAAAACTGGCTGAAATACAGTCAGAATTTTTCTGTGCTTTTTTATACTGGGTTCCAACAAAAAGTTGCAGTCTTTCCCCAAATCTTCACTTGCATAGCGATTGAATTAATGGCTAAAAAAATCCATTTAATTTTCCACATTTCCAAAAAAGATTTGAATACGACGATCTCGTTTGGCATATCGCCCAGGAGATTAGTAGGTTTGCTGAGATGGTCCATTTTCAGAATCTGGCAGCAAGGCAAGGACCGTTTAGAAGCCTTTCAAATGTTGACCTTATAAAGTAGGGCAAAAGCAAGGAAGTCGACTGCAGAGGAAATGGCAGAAGCTTCACCGAGAGGGTGAGAGAATGCAGAAAAGGAAAATTTCCACTTCACAAAGTTGTTTTAAGAGACGGTGTTTGGGATTAGTAATGTCCCTCCTGGGCATCGCTCACAACTCAAATCCCCCAACTAGATTCGGTAGTTAAACAACAAATCCAACTCCAAAGTAACCCCCAGACAATCATTTTCAGAATCCGCCCCATAACATTTGCCTTTATCTGCGGATTTTGCTTCTGTCTTTCGCCAGCCGCAAAACCCCAACGAAAACACCCTCATAAAAAGGAGGGTAGGACTGAAAAGACTCTAGTGGCTTGGGCTGCCGGGGTCTCTAACAGCCACCCGCAGAGCAGCTCCGAGGCGGCGGGGCGGCTAGACGCCTCCTATTGGCTGCCTCCGCGAGGCCCCGCCCCGCCCGACCCAGTCCCTCCCCTCCCCCGGGGCTCGGTCGCGAAGGACGCGGCGTTGGTTGGTTGTCAAGATGGCGGTGGCGGGGTTCCTGCTGACACCTCTGCTGTTGCCAGGCAAGGTCCCCGCTGCCACAGCTACCAACGCCGCTCCAACCACCACCGCCGCGGTGCGGGAACCAGGACTGCCGCGGCCAGCCCTTCTGCGCCGGTGACGCGGGGCCCGAGAGACAGTGTGGGGAGGGGCGGAGAAGGAGGTGGAGGTGGAGGAAGCGGAGCTGCCATGAGGGAGGCGCTAGGGACGAGCGAGGAGGCCGCGCGGAGGTGAAGGATGCTGGCGGGGAGGCCCGGAGCCCGGAGCGCGGTGGCGGGACTGGGCCCTGAATCCGCGGACACCCTCGACAGAGCCCCCCTCGGCCCTCGGGACAGCGGCAGGCGTCCCCGACCTGGCGCTTACCTGTATCCTTCCCAGTCTGCGGCCGCCGGGGTGGCCGAGTGAGAAGTGGGGCCCATCTTTTTCCGTTAGGTTTCCCATTACCGCGGACGCGAGGTGATGGAAATTAGCAAGTCATGTTCGTGCGAATATTTGCGTTAACAAATGCCGTTGCTCTCCGTTGCCCTGAAATTATATCATTTTTTTTCTAATTCTGTGGCTGTTTCCTCCACCACCTTATTATCCCACTTTCATTCTTCAACTTCTCTGTGAAATATTTGTGAGTTTTAGAATACATCAACCGTGTATTCAGTGGGTATTATTTTTTGCCTTCTGGAATTATGTTTTTACGTCCTTACAGATTAACCACTTAATCATGTTACTTGGAGAAAGAAATTGCTCAAATAAGTAAAATGTTTTGCGGACTTGTCTGTTTTAACAGTTACCCTAGCACGGCCCTAAATCCATACCAGAGCTGCTAAAGCCTAGCACAGTTTGATAATTTGTTTTGTTTTCCACCTCTGCCCAGTGTGTTGTCAGAGAGACCGCATAGAGGAAATAAGAGAAGCGAGGGACCTGGGCGTTTCCCAATCTGGATGAGCTTGAGTTTTCCCGAAGAATTGGTTGAGCCCTCTTTTGTTGTTGTTGCTGGTTGTATTTTAGAAAATTGAAAGAGTTCTGTTAGCATATGTAAAACGTGTTTGTTCCTTTAGAGAATGTTACAATAATTAGAATTTAACCTTTGTATTCTCAAAGGACTTGGGTGGTAGTGATGGTGCTGGGTAATCCTCGCCTTTATTCCTGGCAGAGAATGGAGTGTCTTCTCTTTCCAAGTTAAACCCCATTTTCTTATCCCCATTGTCTCTAACTTCTGGTATGTTCTTTATACTCAGTTAAAATTTTACCAGCAAGTCAGCAGTTTGTATTGAGTCTGCTTTTTGGAAGATACTGTTCAGGGTTCTAAGGAGACAAATATAGTAGGTATGTACAGAGCTTCACTAATGGTAAAGTGTCCCTGCTCAGATCATGCTTTTCCTCAAGCTTCTATCCATTCTTTCTGTCTTTGTTTTCTTTGGCCAAGTTCTCAGAATGGTAGCCTGCAATACCAGCTTTTACTTGGCTCATCTATTATTAACCCTGTTCAGTTGGCTTTTGCCCATACTACTCCCCAAAACTGTCCTCTCAGAGATGTGCTCTGAAATAAAGAGGGTAATTTTTCTGTATGGATTTAATTCTGTCCCCTTGATGTTATCTTTTCCTAAACACTGAACTATTACACTGATCCTGATTTATCTCTAAAGGAGAAAATAAGGAGTCATTGTAAGTGACTTACGACAAAGCGTATCTTTCCATCATTTTCATTAATGAAGTAGATTTTATCTTTTTAATTTGTAGGATATGAACTTTGATACAAACAGCAAAGAAAAGATTTGTTAATAGAATTCAGCAATACGTGGAATGAACACCAAATAGATTTCTCTCCCAGAATTATAATGATGGTTTCCTGTAAAGAAATACATTACTAAAAATATATCTAAAGACTAGATATATAGTTAAAATTAGGCAAGTTGTAATTATCATTTTAATAGATGACCAATAGACTTTAATAAAATCTAGTAACTTTGGCTAATGTGTGCATGGCATGCGTGTATATTTGTTGGCTTATGTGTATTATTGCTAGTGTATATGTGTATATATACATATATACAAATACAGTTATTTATATTGGAATAGAGGAATTTTTTTTTGAACATAATAAAGACTGGCAGTAAATCAAGAATATTATGTATACTAGTTAGAGAGACAGTAGAGCACCTTTTATGTGAGTATCATTTGGATATTCTTAGTGTCTTTTGTATTTCCCATTGGATACCTGGTACAGAATAGGTGCTCAAATTTGTTAAATGAAAGACTAAATGGAAAAAAACAAAAAGAAAAATGAAAGCACCATAGTCATTCCATCTACAAATGTCTTAGTAAAACAAAATTTGTATTTCTGCCCTTCTGCCTCAACCACTAAGTAAGGTAAGACTTCTATATGTGATTTCCAAATATAAATACAATACTCAGAGGCCATCCAACCTTCCGTTGAAGGCATTTCTCACTGAGGACAGAATTTTCTGACCCTAAAGGCAGTAAAGGAACAAAACCTTATCATGTTCATCTGATTAAAATTATTTCAATCTCTTAGAAGATAGAAATAGAAAATAGAAATAGAATAAAGTTTTTTTTAAAAAATTAAAAAGGGGCTCTGCTGAAGTGGCTAGGGCACCAGCCACATGCCCCAGAGCTGGTGGGTTCAAATCCAGCCTGGGCCTGCCAAACAACAATGAC